ATACAGACAATACTGTTCATACCATCCCTACAGAGACAGACAATACTGTTCATACCACCACCTACTGTTCATACAGATACAATACTGTTCATACCACCTGTACACAGACAGACAATACTAGTTCATACCACCCTATAGATACAGACAATACTGTTCATACCACCCTATAGATACAGACAATACTGTTCATACCACCCTACACAGACAGACAATACTGTTCATACCACCCTACACAGACAGACAATTCTGTTCATACCACCTAACACAGACAGACAATACTGTTCATACCACCCTATAGATACAGACAATACTGTTCATACCAATTCACCCTATAGATAGACAATACTGTTCATACCACCCAACACAGACAGACAATACTGTTCATACCACCCTACACAGACAGACAATACTGTTCATACCCACCTACACAGACAGACAATACTGTTCATACCACCCTACACAGACAGACAATACTGTTCATACCACCCTACACACAGATAGACAATACTGTTCATACCACCCTACACAGACAGACAATACTGTTCATACCACCCTACACAGACAGACAATACTGTTCATACCAATCTCTACACAGACAGACAATACTGTTCATACCACCCCACACAGACAGACAATACTGTTCATACCACCTAACACAGACAGACAATACTGTTCATACCACCCTATAGATACAGATAGACAATACTGTTCATACCACCCTTCACAGACAGACAATACTGTTCATACCAAGCCTTCACAGACAGACAATACTGTTCATACCACCCCTACATACAGACAACACTGTTCATACCACCGTACACAGACAGACAATACTGTCATATACCACCCTACACAGACAGACAATACTGTTCATACCACCCAACACAGACAGACAATACTGTTCATACCACCCTATAGATACAGACAATACTGTTCATACCACCCTATAGATACAGACAATACTGTTCATACCACCCAACACAGACAGACAATACTGTTCATACCACCCTACACAGACAGACAATACTGTTCATACCACCCTACACAGACAGACAATACTGTTCATACCACCCCATACAGACAGACAATACTGTTCATACCACCCTTCACAGACAGACAATACTGTTCATACCACCCTACACAGACAGACAATACTGTTCATACCACCCTACACAGACAGACAATACTGTTCATACCACCCTACATAGAGACAGACAATACTGTTCATACCACCCAACACAGACAGACAATACTGTTCATACCAATCCCTTACACAGAGAGACAGACAATACTGTTCATACCACCCTACACAGACAGACAATACTGTTCATACCACCCTACACAGACAGACAATACTGTTCATACCACCCAACACAGACAGACAATACTGTTCATACCACCCTATACAGACAGACAATACTGTTCATACCACCCAACACAGACAGACAATACTGTTCATACCACCCTACAGAGACAGACAATACTGTTCATACCACCCTATAGATACAGACAATACTGTTCATACCACCCTACACAGACAGACAATACTGTTCATACCACCCAACACAGACAGACAATACTGTTCATACCACCCTACACAGACAGACAATACTGTTCATACCACCCAACACAGACAGACAATACTGTTCATACCACCCTATAGATACAGACAATACTGTTCATACCACCCAACACAGACAGACAATACTGTTCATACCACCCTTACACAGACAGACAATACTGTTCATACCACCCTATAGATACAGACAATACTGTTCATACCACCCTACACAGACAGACAATACTGTTCATACCACCCAACACAGACAGACAATACTGTTCATACCACCCTATAGAGACAGACAATACTGTTCATACCACCCTATAGATACAGACAATACTGTTCATACCACCCTACACAGACAGACAATACTGTTCATACCACCCAACACAGACAGACAATACTGTTCATACCACCCTACACAGACAGACAATACTATTCATACCACCCTATAGATACAGACAATACTGTTCATACCACCCTACACAGACAGACAATACTGTTCATACCACCCTTTAGATACAGACAATACTGTTCATACCACCCTATAGATACAGACAATACTGTTCATACCACCCTACACAGACAGTATTGTTCGTATCATTTTACGCAAACAGTCAGTATTGTTCGTATAATTTTATATACCACCGCCTATACCACCGTACATAAACGCACAATACTGTTTATACCACCATACACAGACAATACGATTCACCCTACACTGACTGTCACATGTATCATTCTACACAGACAGTATTGTTCAGACTGGTGAAATATATGGCCTTGTAGTGTTATCCTACAGTACCCCAGATGAATGTGTACTATTACTGTTTTATCCCACAGTGTTATTATATATACTGAAACACAAAAGAAATGTCGCACCGATACCGGTTTCTTAAAGCACACACTTTAATTCGCTCTAATTAATAATCAAAATGGAGGACTGAGTTCAAACTTGTTTTCATTTCAGACATGTTCGGGAATCACATTTAGAGTTCTCACAAACAAAATCACCAAAAATGGTACCATTAAGATACCCCAAAGCTAGTATCGTGTATGGCCTCCATGGGCATTGATGAAAGCGTTGCATCGTCTGTACATGGAATAATTTAGCCGGTTGATAAAGGCCATAGGCACTTAGGTCCATAGTCTGCGAAATGCCTGATCGAGTCCAGCCGCAGTTGTCGGCCTTGGTTAGAGGTCATTCAGTCTTCTTTGAGTCTCGTCCCAAAGGTGTTCTATTGGACTTAAATCCGGGCTGAGTGCAGGCCATTGTAGCGTTTGGTTGCCAAGTTGCGTTAGGAAGTCCAATGTTGCTCTTGGCAGTGTGGGCACGAGCGTTGTCTTGCTGGAAGATGTGATTTTTGTAACGTCCAAAATGTGGTGCACCGTGGAGTCTTATGACTGGGGTCAGCTGTCACGTCATTTCCTCATCCTGGACCAAGATTCTGGAACACCACGGTGTCAACTAACTGATTCAAACCAATTGCACCCCACACTGTGATGCTTGGACCAAACCACGGGTCTCTTTCAACAATACACTCATTGGAAAACACTTCCCCACGCCTTCACCATACTCTCACTCACTCACTGACTGTCGAAACACAATATCGGCTTTCATTGAGATGAAAAGAGTTCTACATTGTCGATAACGCCAATTTCGATGCTGAGTTGTCCCATTGCAGTCGGTTTGGGCGGTGATGAGCGGTGAGGACAGGACTACTATAGAGTCTGTGACAGCAGAGGTTTCTTCCGCGCAAACGTCCACGCACTGTATCGGCACTGATGGGTCTGTTGTGAGTCCCAATGGTCTGGCGTGCTCTTACCGTCGCTCTGATGAAGCGATCCTGCAGATGGTTGCGCACAATCTGTCGGTATTGGCGTTGTGATGTTACTGAAGGTCGCCCACTGGGTGGACGGTCTTGGATGCTGTTAGTGACCTGATACCACTCCTGCAGTCGGTAGATTGTCCTAATATGAACATTAAAATGATTGGCTACCCTCCGTGCAGTCGGGACACCTTGCAATCGTCCCAAGACTTGGTTCCTCTGATCCCTCGTAAGTCGTAGCATGGTGATTGTGTCAAAACAAAAATGATTTCAGGCGAGTTTGAGACTCACTTTCATTGGTTGGGTTGTCACGACATGCACGTGCATTTTCATTTTCACGAATGTCATACAGAACCTTATGACATGTCTGCCTTTTTCGGTGCGTTTGGTCGATATGCTTTTTCATCAGAAAACACACTGATGTTGGTAATAACTGTTAATTTAGATTTAAAAACGTTATCAAAACGGTACAATCATAATAGAAACACCACCTTGTAAGAATAAAATTTTGCAATTGGTTTTGAAGGCGACGTTTCTTTTGTGGTTCAGAATAGAAGTGAGATACACTAGGAATATATACGTGTTGTCATATAGTAAGTGAGATATATGTGAAATACAATATTATAATATACCAGTTTCTATTAAGTAAGTGAGATACATTGGGAATATCTACGTGTTATCATATAGTGAGATTAATGTGAAACATGCCAGTTCCGTCATGATTTCAAATTGAATCAACCACCAATTATAATCAAATCAAGCAAATTTAAACAAAGGAGTTCTGTACATTCCATCTATATCAGATATCGAACAGGTCTTAATCGTAAAGATCGATAAAATAAAAGGGCTTAGTCATTTGTCTTTACTTTTCGAAATTTGAAAAAAATAAGAAGGCATAAGACCAAAACACATCAATATTATGATGTTGTTTCCATACAGGCGCTACACAACACTTTGACATTAATCAAAGTCATTTCCCCATTAAATTATTGACAGAAAGCAGCAAGATAGGTCGCCATATGAGTTCCAGGCCGGAGTTTCTCACTCCAAAAACAATAACCCGTTCTTTTCCATCTTAAAATTCAAACGTATTTTAATTGATCATACCATACTGAAACGATTGCAAATATCCGAGGCCTGGAGCTTTTTACATTTGAAAGCATTACGTCACATGAGTCATTCATCCAAACATACACTTAACAGATTATAAACAATTCATTTGTAAACTAGTTTCCCTGGTTTATTGTGAATGATATCCGTTTTAAAGTTCATCAAACACTATAAAGAAACATACAACGTACTTTTAACTTTTATCAAAAAATCAATTAACCCAGCTTCACTAACTTGTATATTTTTATTGTTTAATGTTTACACCAATTTATAACGAATTTTATTCAACTCTAAATAAGTGCTGTACGAAAACAACCACATGAACGCATCGACACTCGATTGTGCCTAATATTTCCTGTACAATGAAAGTTTTAAGAGCTTGTACATATCGTGTCTTGGTTTGGGAGTCTGTCCGGAAACATTTCTTACATTACTAAAAGACGGTGCTCAGTTGGTGTAAGTCAGTTTTCTAAGCGTGCCGCGCAGTCCATCCATCGTAATAAATGTATGAGCGCTGTGCCAAGTCTCGTGGCTTTTACTGTTCATCCTATTAATAGGTTACGTCAGACCTGTTGGGGGGCGACACAATCAATGGAAATATTGTAATATGGACATTACCCCGGATGAGTCCATTCTCTGACGCGAGTGGTAGCAGTATGGCGCGGGATGGCTTGGTAACTTGAGAGAACAGAGCGCTGACTCGGGAGGCCAGTCCAAAGAGTGAGTCAGAGAGTATACAGGGACATCGCAACTACACGACCGGTCCTTGGCTGTGGTCGGCGAGAAAGTGACTATGGATAGGATGAGCACCACAGCTTGGAACTGGGTCGTCTGCTCCGCGCTGACCGGTAAGTTGGGAAGATGCCATTTTAAACACGACCTTTTGTAGATGATGTGAGATAGGATATAGCGGAGGCTGACGTTGTATGGAGGCAGGTGAGAACACTGGTGGTTCATTCATTCACAGAACGCCGTGTGTAGGAGCTGCAGAAGCCTGGTGTCAATTAGACGTGGATTATGTCAACATGGCAAGTGGTGTAGAGACGGACTTTAAAACCCGGTCGTGACCCTTATTGCAGTGCGTGCACCCCAGACGGGTACATGTGTCGAACAGACGCTCGTATCGAATAATGCACAGATTGAAATTAATGTTGACCCGAGTTGATCTTGAGACACATGGCGAGAGCGTGGAGTATATGTTCAACCCCGGTGAGACGGTACCGAAAATAATTCAAGTCGTGTCTTCCAGGAATGGTATTTGTGTTTACAAGCATGGCAGATTTTAGTCAGACCATGCATTAAAGTAGCCGATGTAAACACTGGGTAGAGCCAGAACGGACAAATACGTGTTGCAACACAAAATATAAGCACAGTATTGATTCTTAAACATAACTTTGTGAAAAGGTTTTAGTGATATATATCAACATGTGATGGTCGTTTTGGTAGATGTCGCTGTTCTAGTGAAGCAGTCACTCGTAGTGGCAGCTGTTGTGTTGTCAGCGAGTGAGTATTGTTTAAGGCCGGCAGTAGCTGATGAAGCAGTACCGTAAGCGGTAGTCGTATTAGATATGAAACAAATCAAAAGGTCCTTGACATTGGTAGTTACTGATACTGCCAGTGATGCCAATTAACATCTGATGCTCCTAAATCAGGTCATCCTCATCTCTCTCCAGTGGGAATTTTCCGTATCTGGATGAGAATCGATCCGCGATATAATAATACACGATGTTGCTTTTGTTTTGTGAGCTCCCAGGATACTTTCTCTAGTGACGAAGCCTGACTAAACACAAAAAGCAACGGACATGTTTTTCCACGTGTAATTAAATGCATGCGCCATATGTATGTCGGCCAGTGAGTTCCTCTATCAACGGGAGTCAGCTTTTCTGTATAATATAAATATTTGCCGAGCGCAGACAAAATACGTATGTATTAAATGCATACACGGTACTTTGCGTTAATACGTGTTCTACAACGCGGAAGTGCCCAATGCCCGCTCCACGTATGGCGGCTTAAAGATACAGTGTATTACATCATGGCTAACTTTAGTCTTCAATATATGTTATGGCTGAAGGATACAGTGTGTTATATCATGGCTGACTTTAGTCTTCAGTATATGTGACGTCTGAAGGTTACACCGTGTCATCTAAAGGTTACACTGTGTTATATCATGGCTGACTTTAGTCTTCAGTGTGACGTGTTACACCGTGTTATATCATGGCTGACTTTAGTCTTCAGTATAACGTCTGAAGGTTACACCGTGTTATATCATGGCTGACTTTAGTATTCTTTGTGAGTCTGAAGGTTACACCGTGTTATATCATGGCTGACTTTAGTCTTCAGTATATGTGACGTCTGAAGGTTACACCGTGTTATATCATGGCTGACTTTAGTCTTCAGTATATGTGACGTCTGAAGGTTACACCGTGTTATATCATGGCTGACTTTAGTCTTCAGTATATGTGACGTCTGAAGGTTACACCGTGTTATATCATGGCTGACTTTAGTCTTCAGTATATGTGACGTCTGAAGGTTACACCGTGTTATATCATGGCTGACTTTAGTCTTCAGTGTGACGTCTGAAGGTTCAGTTATATCATGTGACGTCTGAAGGTTACACCGTGACTTTTATATCATGGCTGACTTTAGTCTTCAGTATATGTGACGTCTGAAGGTTACACCGTGTTATATCATGGCTGACTTTAGTCTTCAGTATATGTGACGTCTGAAGGTTACACCGTGTTATATCATGGCTAACTTTAGTCTTCAGTATATGTGACATCTGAAGGTTACACCGTGTTATATCATGGCTAACTTTAGTCTTCAGTATGTAGACATATGTGACATCTGAAGGTTACACCGTGTTATATCATGGCTGACTTTAACTTTAGTCTTCAGTATATGTGACGTCTGAAGGTTACACCGTGTTATATCATGGCTGACTTTAGTCTTCAGTATGTATGTGACGTCTGAAGGTTACACCGTGTTATATCATGGCTGACTTTAGTCTTCAGTATATGTGACGTCTGAAGGTTACACCGTGTTATATCATGGCTGACTTTAGTCTTCAGTATATGTGACGTCTGAAGGTTACACCGTGTTATATCATTATATCAGTCTTCAGTGACTTTGACGTCTTCAGGTTATATATCATGGCGTGACTAGAAGGTTGTGACTGAACCGTGTTATATCATGGCTGACTTTAGTCTTCAGTGTGTATGATGGCTGAAGGTTACACCGTGTTATATCATGGCTGACTTTAGTCTTCAGTGTATGTGACGTCTGAAGGTTACACCGTGTTATATCATGGCTAACTTTAGTCTTCAGTATATGTGACATCTGAAGGTTACACCGTGTTATATCATGGCTGACTTTAGTCTTCAGTATATGTGACGTCTGAAGGTTACACCGTGTTATATCATGGCTGACTTTAGTCTTCAGTATATGTGACGTCTGAAGGTTACAGTGTTACATGGCTGACTTTAGTCTTCAGTATATGTGACGTCTGAAGGTTACACCGTGTTATATCATGGCTAACTCTAGTCTTCAGTATATGTGACGTCTGAAGGTTACACCGTGTTATATCATGGCTGACTTTAGTCTTCAGTATATGTGACGTCTGAAGGTTACATTGTGTTATATCATGGCTGACTTTAGTATTCAGTATATGTGACGTCTGAAGGTTACACCGTTTTATATCATGGCTGACTTAAGTCTTCAGTATATGTGATGACTGAAGGTTACGCTGTTTTTAGAATAATTTTAGTCTTGATATTGACAATTATTGGAGGTTACACTGTGTTACATCGTACCTAACTTTAGTCTTCAGCATATGAGATGACTGCAGGTTAGACAGTGTTCCATGGCAATGTAGGCTAACTGTAGTCATCATGCACTCAGGGCCACACACTCGTCTATCAGGTCATTGTTTCATTTATACCCTGCCCAGCGTTCGAACGTTATTTCAGAGTTTCGCACAATACACAATGTTCAACTCATCTATTAACTCATAGTTACACACTATATACCCTGTTCAACTTACCTTATTCTACACCATGCCAACATGTTTTTATCTCAAAGGACTCGTGAAGATCCGGATTAAAATTGATTTTCAGTAACCCATGCTTGTCGTAACAGGCGACTAATGGGATCGGGTGGTCAGGCTCGTTGACCTGGTTTATACATGTCATCGTATCCCAATTGTGTAGGTTGATGCTCATGATGTTGATCACTGGATTGTCTGGCCCAAACTCGATTATTACCAGACCGCCGCCATATAGCTGGAATATTGCTGAGTGCAACGTTAAACAATCAATAACAAACTGCCATCCATGTGTATGTTGGACCTTCACGTACATGCCACGGAGGTATAGATAAACATTGCATGTTGTTGATAAACTAACATTCATCTGTTTTATGTTTTTGAATATAATTTGGTTATTATCAGATCAGGACATACTAGTACAGGTCGAGGCAGAATGACCTTTCACCTGACCAATTTCAGTGTCGCTTACGACATGAAAAAGTGCATCAATCATCGAAAAGGTTAAAACAGGGCATTCCGAACAACAGTTACGAGCTGTACGATTGGTTCCGAATGCAAGGCAACAGGTTTCTCGTCAAAATCTCTCGTTCTAAGTTTGATACACGTTTGATTATTTTGTTATTTAACATCGCACACAACAGCTGTATGAGGGCGATCTATAAATAAAGGAGTCTGGACTCGACAATCATGTGATTGGCATGACATGCATCAGCCAGGTCAGCGAGCCTGGCAACCGATCCCTTTAGTCGCCTCTAACCACTAGCAAGGATTGACGAGGAACAAATCCTAACCCGGATCTTCTCGGGTCGGATGCACATGAGAAGTGACTTGCCGTAGGACTTTAAACGTACTTCCTTAATATTTTCCGTCTATTATACATTCCCGAATATTTTCAGACTGCTTTCCAAATTTGAATCGAATACAGCGTAATCCGGATTGGAAGTCGCCATTTTTAAAATGGATTGTAAAGCTCACGAAAACTTCATTCTGATCGGATAATGTCGACTGTTAGCGCTTATATTGGTCGGTCATAATTTGCGGAAGATTGTTCTGATCTTGGTGAGACTTCAGTTAGCACTAAGACGTGGTTTCGGAAAGATCGACCGTATTAGTAACGGTGGTTTACACTTGATATACACAGCGCTGTTCGCAGTACGTCTGAGTGGTTCTGTCTTTCCGCGAGGACGCCGCCAAGACTCCAAGTGATTTTATTTTATGCAGCTTTAGGTATTTAGTGTAGGAGGATGTATATACGTAATCAGGTTGAATCTGGGTTTTGAACTCACGATTACAGGTTTCTCAAATGTGTTTGTTAATATAAGAGCGGACAAAGATTTACAAATATCACATCTCGTTCCATGAGACAGAATTGGTCTTCAACAACCCATGCTTGTCATAGGAGGCGACTGATGGGATTGGGTGGTCAGGCTTGCTGACTTGGTTGACACATGTCATCGTATACCAATTGCTTAGATCGATGCTCATGATGCTGATCACTGGATTGTCTGACCCAGGCTCGATTATTTACAGACCATCACATGCCGCTTGAATATTGCGACGTTAAACACCAACCAAACAAACAAACAACCAAACAAACAAACAAACATGCGACATAGAAGAATTGTGAAGTAGGGGAACAAGGACGAACTGGCCGGACCGTGTTACTGATACAAGGAGGTGTTTAAGGCCTACTTGAGTTTGTTTATGATTATATATGTGACTCACACACGCACGTATGTCAGCTGGAGGTACATATGTCAGCTGGCTGTACGAGATTTCAGTAATTGGCTCGACAAGCTCTGAATG